AATCCCAGTACTGTTGTTTATGAACACCCGCCTTGTTTATAAACACCAGCCCTCTTTATAAACAATGGCCCTGCTTATAAGCAATAACTGTGTTTCAAAACGACAGAACTAATTAGCCATAGCTTGTGTCAACAAGCAATAGTAACAACATGCAACATGCAAGGTCACATGCACAACAAGACTTTAAAACATAACACAAGGACTTTACCCAGAACAGATGATGGAACCATTCACAAACCATCGAACCATGATAAAAGAAGGTGAACGCCTGCGTTACCGTCAAACGTACCTTTTCACAAACGCAGGCCCCACGGTAGCCCTTTCTGTATTTCTAAAAGTACAAAAGTGACATGCGACAAGTTAACGGCCGATTTATGCTGGCTGGTGTTGATACCTTCCCCCTGCGTATGAATGCAAGAGTTGCATACACGCCGGATGCTGGAAAGAATGAAAACACAGGCGAAAGTTTGCAAGGAATTCAATGATATATTTGACAGCATCCCGAGCCGCGAATGCAAAGCCAATGACTCATGGAGCAGCTTCCAATATTGGGTCCATACATCTTCCTAGAAGAATATATTAGTGCCATAGAGCAACCATCCGAGAAACAGCAGGAACGCAGGCAGAACTTCGCGGAACTATGTCAGGAAAAGACGCCTTGCAGTCATGGCCAGGTCAAAAACACAAAGAAAGTGCTTGCGGGGGGCATGTCTTTCTAAAGTTTAGATTGTTGGCATTGTTCGCTAATCTTACTGTTCTAATTGTTAGCAATATAATTGTTATGAGTACTAGCTATGACTATGCCTTCTGTTCCTGTTCTTAATACGACAATTGATACTTTGCCCCCTCTAGAACGGAGAACTTCCGCCCTTTCAACCTCCCCTACCTCCCTCAGCTCTGCGCAACTTCCACCCCCATACACACAGCCCCGCCCCCAATCTGCCCACCCCTCCCAAAAACAAATACCTCTAACACAAAATGAAGTGCCAATGAAATTCTCCACCCGTATACATGTGCAGATGTCGATAATGCGTATATGTACACGTGTATATGTGTATATATATATAGAGAGAGTATGTTTATCTGGGTACTTACGTTTACATCAGGAATCTTCATGTTTGTTTGTATATCTATATGTATATGTGTTTGCGTACATATATATATATATACACACTCATGCATGCATACATATTTCTTTCTATATCGTATTTATACCCATCTCTTTCTCAATCTCTGTCTCCGTCCTGATCATAATCACCCCGCCCGTATCTATATCTATACCTATGCCCATATCTATATCTGTCTCTGTATGTATGTTTATATCTGTATCTATATCTACATCTGCATCTGTATTTATATCTATGTCCATATCTATGTCTATATCTAGGTCTATATCAACATCTATATCTATATTCAAATTCATGTCCACATCTATCTCGACATCTATGTCATTTTATGTCTATATATCTACGTCTATGTCTATATCCACACACATATCCATATCTGCTTCCATGTCTGTGTCATGTGCGTGTGTGTGCACGCACATCTCCGGGTTTGCGCCACAGTTGATGGTGCCTGTACAGGTGAAGAGCTTGTTCTCGAGCTTGCCGAATGAAGGCAAGTACCACTACCGACAAGGAGTCAACATCTTGCATGACGGCTTGCACAGGGTGTATCCGGGATATATCAGGAGCTGATGCAGAGAAGCATCTGAACGATCCCATGGTGATCGCCAAGCTTCAGGAGGTTGTCTGTTGATTTCGTGGCTCATAGTCGAGTTCGATTCGTCCTTCGAAGGGGACACTGCGGCTGTCAGGCTGCCAGAACGAATTCTCGTGCGGCTTACGCATCCTTCGCGACTCTTCACAACAATCTGGTGCTCCACTTGGTTTGTCGCAACTGTCGGCATGGACACATGAAAGCTACTCGTAGTTTCGCTCTAGTTGCAGGTCAAGGCTTCTTCGATTCGTGGGCAGGTGGATTTCAAGCCGCCCAGGCCGGGTTTGGCACAGGAAGCCGTGTGTCATGGTCATGATACCTCTTAGAGCTGGCAGAACATCTTGCTCACGCCGAGTTTCGTTTTGTCGGGCCAAGAGTCCCACCATAGCAGAGTTGTGCAGCTACAACCGCGGTGGAGGGGCATTGATTGAGTCTTGTGTTGGACACATTGGAATCCAAAGCGACAGGTGTGTTGAGAGCGCTGAGGCAGTATGGCCGAGCACCGCTTCCTTTGGAGGCAGTGGAGCCAGCCAGCGAGATCGTGAAGCGCTTCCGCACAGGTCGGACTTGGATCTTTGGCATGTTAAGAGAGTAGCTCAGCAGACAAGCAGGTGCCATGTCCTACGGGTCAATCTCCATGGAGGTTCGAATTCGTTTCTCGCGTGGCAGAAGGTTTCATGAGTTGCTTTCACTTGAGAGGCCCACAGCACACTCGCGATCGCATTGAATCGCCTTGGTGGCTTCTCAAACACAGGCGAGGGTGGTGAAGATCCAGCCAGGCCGCTTGGCCGGAGCTCGTTCGTTCGTGTCAGGTTCACTCGTTCGACAGGGTCTGACTGGTCAGAGAATCGCGGGTCCAACTTAGTCAGCCTGGGATCCGATGGAGGTACGAGCCGCTGCCCAATGGAGATTCACTGAAATCTGCCATCAAGCAGGTGGCATCAGGGCGCTTCGGTGTCACAATGGAGTACCTGGCCAACGCGCAGGAGCTACAAATCAAAATGGCGCAAGGTGCAAAACCAGGCGAAGGAGGAGAGCTGCCAGGAAAGAAAGTGCATGGAGGCATCGCCAAGACACGAAACTCCACGCCTGGTGTTGGCCTCATCTCTCCCCCACCTCATCACGACATCTACTCGATCGAAGACCTTGCCCAGCTGATCTTTGATCTCAAGAACTCCAACCCAGATGCTGGTGTCAGCGTGAAGCTGGTCAGCGAGATTGGCGTCGGTGTGGTGGCCACCGGAGTGGCAAAGTGCAAGGCCAGCTGAGAGTCTTCGCATTTTCTGTGGTCATGTGTGGTCATGCGTGAGAGAGTGGGAGAAGCATGGCATAGAGTCATGGCAATGCACGTCATGCATGAGGCAGACCACATCTTGATCTCTGGTTGCGACGGCGGTACCGGGGCATCGAAGTGGACCGGCATTAAGCATGCCGGCGCTCCATGGGAGATTGGCTTAGCTGAGACTCACCAGACCTTGGTGCTGAACGGTCTGCGCGGTCGCGTCACTCTGGAGACGGATGGACAGCTCCGCACTGGCCGGGATGTAGTCATCGCTGCGCTCTTGGGAGCAGAGCGCTTCGGCTTTGCCACGGCACCCCTCATTGCGATGGGTTGCATCATGATGCGAAAGTGCCATCTCAACACTTGCCCTGTTGGTATTGCAACGCAAGACCCTGTTTTGCGCAAGAAGTTCGAGGGACTGCCAGAGCACGTCGTGAACTACCTCATGCTCGTGGCCGAGGAGGTGCGCCCACAGCGGTTGCAAGCACAAACAGAGCCTGGCTACGTATGCATTACACTTCGAAATACGAGCTGGAGATTTATTTTGAAGGATTGTGTTTCATGCGTTTCAGGGATGCGGCGGTCAGCAGCACTCCTCCCACCTTGTCTGCTATAAGGAAAGCAGGGACGCTTCTCCACTCCTGACCGCGATTGTCAGTCAATGTTTCTATATGGACCTTGTCGTGTCGTTTCTCTTTCGTTACATGTTGATTCTCTCATTTGTAAGAATAGCTTGCTACTTGGGCTTTGGCACAGGGCAACGTGGGCCTCCGCGCAGTTTTACCATCGCCACCATGGCTTTTAAGTTGTACTGCTACTGAATGCGACCGGGTTGCTATTGTCAACCACTCAATTGCCATGATCCTTCGCATGATTGCCAATGATGCAGGTTGCTTTTCCGGCCACCATGCATCAGTGCTAAAACTGTTTTTTTCCAACTTGGAGCTTGTGGGGAGCTGCCTGTGTCAATCTCTGCGGGAGTTCGCGTTCTACTACGTCCCATGGCCGTCGACATGGAGCCACCTGGATGTTTGCAGGGCACTCCCAGCCGGCCTGCCCACACAGGGTTGCCGCAGGAGCCGTCAGCGGCGAACCGGGAGACGACAATCACTCTCAACATAGCTTTGCCGTTCTCTGCCTGGACGTCTGCTGTACTGACATACTGATGAGCGCTGACGAATCCTGCCGTGTGTCAGGGGAACTCTAAGCTTCTTTAGGTGCATTAGAACGCATGAGAGTGTTTAACGTTTCACTCACACTAGTCCGGCTACTGCCCCCCTGAGAACGGTATTTAGTTGGGGTCAGTCCTGCTCTAGGCGAGCCTTTTGCGCGTCGCTCACAAGCGGAGTTGGCGCGCAGCGCGCAAAAAGTCGAAAAAACACGAAAAGTCGAAAACCACGAAGATGCGAAAACACAAAAAGCGCGAACACGCGAAAAAACCGGAACATCACTCCCAAAATCAACGCGAACCCCGATACTATACCATTACTTTAATGATAACTATACCACTATTTTTATAGCTAATACTACAGATTTTTTTTGTGTTTCGTGCTTTTCGTGTTGTTCGCATTATGGCGTTTTTCGTATTCTTCGTGTTTTTTGGCGCTTTTTCGCAAGTACATAACAGGTATTGATACTAGTATTATTAGCTAGTGATAATCGTAGTAATATTACTCTTATTATTTATATTACTATTGCTGTTACTACTATTATTAATATTGCTACTGCTACAATTGTTAGTACTGTCATTGACTATCATTATTACCGATACCATACCATTATTACTATTGTTGTTAGTATTGTTATTAGTATTTTTACTATTACTACTACTATATTACTATTACTAATACTATTATCCAAGATTACGATTACTATTTTCTACTACTATTACTACTACTATAACTACTTGTAGTACCACCGAGCTGATCTTCAGCATTTTAGCGTTTTTCGTGTTTTTAGCGTTTTGCGTTTTTCGTGGTTTTTGCGTTTTTTTGTGTTTTCGCGTTTCTCGCGTCCACCTCTGCGCCTCCGCTTAGCTGAGACAGACAAAGCGTTTCCAAAGGGGGTCCTTTCCCTTCCACCCACAAGCCGGTCATAGTTGCTCCAAACTTTGTGATTGTTAGCTATGTATAGGAGTTCTCCGACCTTTGGTGGGGCTGCTGATATTTTTTTTGGTGGGCTTCAAGTGCGGGGGACGTGACCGTCCCCGATACCCGAGACAGAGAGAGAGAGAGAGTGTTGTAGTGTTGTAGGGTCGCATGTGAATCTTATTCTTCCTGTCACTCTGACATGGCTCTTCAGCTGCAGCTGCATGTTTTGTTGAGAACATACGACCGACATGTCTTCGTCATCGTAGTCTTTAGGCTTCAGCCATCCTGTCGGTCTATGTTCGTTCGTCACTCCCCGCGGCCCAACAAGACGTTGGGTGGGCCAGGTGCCCGGGGACGCTGACCCGTCCCCACGCCCGGGAGAGAGAAAGAGAGAGAGAGAGAGAGAGAGAAAGGGGGAAAGTGAAGAAAGGGGAAACCCCTTCACCCTAGCCCTGGCGAAAGAAGAGAGAGAGTGCTACCCATAATAAGACACCCACCAAGCATGTAGATTCCTAGACATGTCAGGTGCGCGTGCTCATGGCAAAGATGGGTTTCAGAAACATGGATGAGCTCATCGGTCATGCCGAGGCCACATGGCCTTTTTTCGTGAGAGAACAGAGCAGTTTCTTCGCATGCGATCCAAGGTCTTGCGGACCGATCCGGCAGTCCGAACCGGGCCGCTCCTTTTGGATCCGATCCTGGCAGCGGCGCATCAACTTCCTGATGCGGGCAAAATGGGCATCTCTGTCCAAACTAAACACAAGTGCTGCGAAATGCCGAGAACCGGATTACATTCGTCATTTTGGCATACATTTGGGCGGACAAAGCACTGAGGCCTGCTTCAATGAAACATGCGAAGCACACGCACAAGACCAAGCCCACGTTTGTGAGTCCCAGCCACGAAATAGCACGCAACAGAGACTTATTTCCTGGAGCGAAGCTGCAGATGATCAGCACCAACACACCATGCACATGAACATCCTATGTTGCGGCGGCAGGCTGTAGTGCAGTTGGTTTGCATGTGTGTGAGTCGCATGTTCCAGTGAGGCAACATCGAGAATCGCAAGCTCTATGGGCAGGAGCACTTCATGGTTCTGCAGCGAATGATTGACAGAACGCTAGTGGAGGACGGGAGATGACCGAACAGCATTCTGCACCAGCCTTTTTTCAAGATTGCTTGAAGATACCTGGTCACCACATGCCACTAGCACAAAAGGACTGCAAAATGACTTTCCGCTACGGCGAGCGGTCCTACGTTCAGTACAACCATCTGAACAATGCGGACCGCACTTGTGGGACCTTGTTGTCCCACGAGCGCCTCGGTTAGCAGTGCTTCCCATCTCTTCTCGGGCATGTGAGCAAAATGTCTTCGAAACTCAGTTATGCCACTCCAGCAAAGCACGTGAGCCAGGATCTTCAAGCGGTGGGGCAGCAGCCTTCCTCCTGGAACGTGCCACATGAAGCTTGCATGAGGATAAGCGTCCTTGTGATCCAAACTGAAGCATGGGAATCCGACTTAGGAAGCTATTTGGCACGTCGGGCCAATCATTCGGCGCCTTTTCCGTCAAGGGTGTGCTGCTCGAGTTAGAGGGTGACTCGCAGGCAGGCCCGTCCTGTCAGCACCGGTTGGACTACACACTTAGACAGGGCAGCTTGTTTCACTCTGCAGGACTACTTCGGCAAGGGCTTGAGTGGAGGTGCTCTCGTCGTGTACCCGCCAAAAAAGGCTCGCGACGCGATAACCAGTGGGTGCGGCTGCCTGTTGCGCCTGAAGAAGCAAGTGGACTTCGTAACGAGTCCAGCGACACGGATGCAAATCGTCTGAAAGTCAAGACCAGTGCTGCTGTTGAGGCGGTAGAGCAAGGCTTCGAAGCCGCAAAGAACATCATCATCGGCAACACGGCTCCTCGTCTTCTGTTCATGTCCTGAGTCTTGGTACGAGTGTGGAAGCAAGCGGGGTCTCCTGCATTTCGCATGTGCAGAGGCCTTGTATGGGGCAACATCGGGTGTGTGCTTCGTGAACGGCATCGCAGCAGAGCGGTTTGCAGTGGCGCGGCC